AGCCAATCAGAGCGCTTTATATGTCTCCCTATGCTTGGCTCTTCACAAAAAAAAAAAAAAAAATCGCCGGGCGGCCGGCAAATGCCTTAATTACTACGTGGATAGCGAGATTTTTCGATAGCCATTCAAAGTTTATAAAATCCCAAATCCTCCTCCTTTTTGGAATTTAAGGAAATTGATACACTGTTGTTCCTTTGTTGGATCGATGACAGCAACACTAAACCGAACATAGCGGTATTTCACATTATGCATTAATCATCTATCATAACTGCTAACTTCCTAGCCTATCGGGTTAGTTTAGTGGCTCGCCAATGTTTTGTTTAGGACTTAGGTAACAACATGGCCGGTGTAAGTCATGTGATTGCGATCAACCCAATCACACGCGCGTATAGAAGAATCCGTGAAACTGAGATGGCCAAACTCTCTCTATCTACGGCTCTGGCTGGACGTGGTTATATTTAGAGGAAATTTTTAATCTTTTTAAATATCTTTTACAAATAATTTTGTACTCGTTTTAAAGAAAATTGTGATTGTTTTAACTTTTAAACATATTTTCCTTCTTGGTGTGTTTAAATTTGTTAGTCACTGTAAAGTAACTAGGTGTTTTTACAAACAAATCTAACACACTGTGCTAAGCTGGTCATTGCCTTCTTGTGTATGAATCAGTTCACGGTTGACTAGTGTTAATAGCTTGTTAGTTTCTGTGCTAGCCAGTGCTTGATACAGGCCTAGTGAAGCCTGTTGGTCTTGGCCTTGAAACTGTATACTGTAAGTTGTTTGTTTGTTGTTTTGGGGGACCTTTTCCCTTTCTGATGTTTTATAATCAATGTAATTTATATTTCATTGTGTATTTTTCTGTTTCCTTAAATTATTTTGTAAATAGCAACTTTTGTTTGAAATTTTACTATGTTTGTTGGCTCTGTAGGCCCTGTACTATTTTAGTGATCAATTGTTAGTTAAGTCTAGTTAAGTGTGTTAAGTGTGTTAAGTGTGTTAAGTGTGTTAAGTCTAGTTAAGTGTGTTAAGTGTGTTAAGTGTGTTAAGTGTGCTGGATTTGGCACTTTTACTGCTTTTCTTTGCCCTTAAGCTAATTGAACTTTAAATTATTTAAATATAATGGGGAGAACCTTGAAGCGCAGTTCATGTTCAATGAAAGTCAGGAATAATGATTGCGCTATCCAATGTGATCTCTGTCATCTCTGGATCCATGCATGCATGTGTGTAAAGTTGACCAAAACCATTCACAGAACGACGTTGCAGCAGCATGATCATTGGTATTGGCCATCTTGCACACAGCCAGGCATTGTCTACAATTGTGGTACTTGTTCTAAGCCTGTGCAAGACACTGATCCTGCTATTCAGTGTAATGGCTGTAATAAATGGATTCATACTGTTTGTTTCTTTTTGCTGACTTGTTTGAGTGTCTGCTTATTTGTTTGCAATCCTGTGTTCCCGTTCCGTTGTTCGCTTTGGATTGTAGCTTGTTCTGCGTTGTGATTGGGTGTCTCTTCTTGCGATTTGCGTAAATGGGACGATTTCGTCAGTACGTTCCTTGTTGTGTTTCTACGAGGTAGGATCTTTCATCTATTTGCTTCGCTACCATCGCCTTTTCCTAATGCTTCTTTCCTCTAACCAACGGTTTCATTCTAACAACATCTCCTTCTGACGGTTTTAGATCTCTCGCTTTACTATCATAGTTCTCTTTCATGTTCTGCAACTCGTTGTGTACTCGTGGTTTTAAAAGTGTCGCTATTTGGTAGAAGTGTGCGAGTTCTCCTGTTCATCAACCTTTGGGCTGGACTTGTTTGGAAACCCTGTGTAGGAGTGTTTCTGTGATCCAATATTGCGAGGTGGATATCGTTTCTAGCCTTGAGTGATTTTATTATGATGCGCTTTTAGTTTTTGTATCACTGTCACGCTTGTCGTTTTTGGCAGATAGTCAATTTCCCAAAATTTACTGTAATAATTTTTACCATTAACTGAGACTAATTCGGTCGCAACTCTCTCTCATGGCCTTGTTGGTAATTCGTGTGCCATAAGTTTCTCTTGTTGTTGTGATGTCTCAATGATCTACAGATGTCGCACTTTGCAATCATTTGTTTGATTTCGCTCCCCATACGCGGCCAAAATACGCATTCCCTGGCTCTACGCAAACAGCCTTCTTGTCCAAGATGGGATGCATGTATTTTGTGTTTTATGTCTTCTCTTAATTTATCGGGTATGATTATTTTTCGCTTCTGAATATGAGGTCATTTTGTACGATCAATTCGTCAGCATAGCTGAAGTATGGCAATATCTGCTCAGGGACTTCCTGTTCCTGTGTTGGCCATCCGTCTATTATGATCTGTTTCAACAACTGTAATGTCTCGTCACTCTCTGTTTCTTGTTTGATTTGTAGAAGACGCTCTTTGCTAGCTGGTAAGTACTGTACCGCTTTAATTTCTATCGTAATCGCTTCCTCTGTAGGATCAACGGCTCTAGATAGAGTGTCTGCTATATACATTGTTCTACCTGGAGCATGTCGTATGTCGTAATCATATTGTTGTAATCGCAAAAACATGCCCTGCAGACGCTTTGGAGCTTTCACTAGCGGCTTCTTTATTATGGCTTCCAGTGGTTTATGGTCGCTTATTACTCGTGTGTGGCGTCCAACTGTGTGTTAGTGGAAATATTCAAAGGGGAATACTACGGCTAACATTTCCTTCTCTGTCGCTGCGTAACGCTTCTCTGTTTTTGTTAGTGCTCTACTTGCGTATGCCATGTTGTAATAGAGCTGATCGAAGATGCACAAATAATAATAAAATATTAATAAAAATAATAAAAAGAGAAAGGTTTGAACCCCATAAGTTCGATTATGTTATTATTGTCATTATTATTATTATTGATTGCAATACCCTCACCCCACTTCGTTGGGCGAGGATAATAATGTAGGTGGTATTTAGTGTATCTGAATAAATATTTAGTTTTATTGTGTTTAAGTTATATTTCCGTACATTATTCACATATATTTTTCAAGCGCCTTGAGACGGTTCGATCGTGGAAGGTGCTATATAAATATAAAACCATAACCATAAGTTAAATTCACTTTATCATTTAGTTTATTAATAAACCGTATTTGTAGTGTCACCGTCGCTTCGCGGATTGTATTCGAAATCATGATGAAACACAGTAACATTTTAATTAGTTGTCATAAATATTGTGATATATTGTTTGTATCTTCTTATATAGAAAATAAGTTTTTTATTTTATTTATTTTTTTTTTTTAAGTCCCACTGGTTACCGGAAATCACCTATGTTTATTATAGATTAGTTGCAGTCATCATCATCATTAATCAGAAAACATGTTAATAATAATAATAATAATAATAATAATAATAATAATAATAATAATAATAATATTAATAATAATAGGCCTAATATAGATCCCGTTCGGTGTTATATTGGCCAGGTAGGCAAGAAAATCGGCTAGGATAGGCCAAATGCACAGTAAATCAGAAAACCGGTTATCTTTCTTTTTGTTGTGCCAAAAGCACGAAAGCTACATGGATGAAATTCTAATATTACATTTCTTGCCTACCAGTATTGTGCGCCACCAGCGTCTTCGGCATGCCGATGCTGGGGAGGATGCAGGTTTTGGCGGGAGTGGGTGCGTGACATTCCACCATTAACTCAACCCCACCATGGTTGAACAATTTTTAGAATATGGATCTCAAGGTGCCCGGAAATTGCACTCTCATACTTTTAAAATCATACGGGTACTATGTTTATAATGATAAAATAATATATCAACAATACAATACAATGATGTTTCTTAATAAAATGTAGGGAAAGGGGTGAGATCACACCATCTACACCCCTGCATTCACCCAGTAATATAAACACCAAAAGGGGTCTATAAGATAAAACGATCTTCACTGCTCAAGGCGCTACAGAAGACGGAACCAAAAATTACCGTAAACCTTTAAAAACTACAGGAAAAGAAACTCCACAACACACCACTGCACCGTTTACAGGCAATTTGAGCAACAGGGCCGGCCGGCCTATTCATAACTCACAGGTGCTCATGTAATGGGGTATCAAAACTAAACAATTTAACTTAGCAAGCAAGAAAACTAAGAATCTGTCACAACATAAACGTAAGAAAGTTTAAACTTTGGAACAATTTCACGAATTGAAAGCATATAGATACGTGCTCACGAGTAGCCACCCCCTTATTTCACATATTTGTAGGTAGTTACACACCAGGGAACAGTGAAATTACACTGCTGCTTTTCGCATAGTCGTGAAGAAAAAAAGATTAAGGAAGTCATTACTAACTTAGACCTGTGGCCCGACGCCCACGATTCGGGGCTAATAACTTTATTTAATGGTAACAAAACCAATACACAGGTTCTCGTGAGCAAATACAAATGTTCGACCCAATTATGACATTCTGCCATATCTGATTGACGGTACTGATTATTCCGAGCCTTTAATGCCAGCCTACCTTGTAGGTACATCAACAGACAGAACGTAGTCCGATAGTGAATATTTAATATCTACAACTTCGACTTCAAACAAGATATTAATAGACCGAATTAGTAATAAGCTATGACGTCTCAAACATCTTGGATATTGGAATTATTAGAATAACAAACACAAAATTCGTATGTGTGTCTCAAAAATGCTGTACATTACATCAATCACTTTTTATAATATTGCCAAAATTTGGTATCGGCTCAGATATCTGCCCATGTGGTGTCGGGCCAATGACTGTAGGCCACATTTTACAGAACTGTCCAGTTTTTGTTAATATAACGGAACCGAACTTGACTAGAACCAACAACCATTCACCAAAAACTGAATGGAACGCTGGGGGATCTCCGGAGGCCAGCAGCCTTCATCCAAAGGAGGTGAACAAGGAAGAAGCATGAATACAGTTTGAAGTATTGATAGATTCATAAGATTAAGGTAGATTTTGATTTTAATTTTATTCCAATTGACCAGAAGAACGTTGTTTGACCTGACTTCTTGGTCTTCCCCTGAATTGCTTATAATCGTCGCGCTAAAAATAAGTGTCAAAAGGCTGTATTCCTTAAGATATATCCATCAAACGCCTTCCTAAAAGTCATTGATTTTAAAGTGTACTGTTTTTTCTTTACGTTTAAGTGAAGTTTTTAAAAGAGATTCTTGGTGTGATCGATGTTTGCTTTACCGCTCAAGAAAGTGAAGCCCATGTCATCTGCGTAAGCAGTCTCTTTAGGAATCTTTATACGTTTCCGTCTCTGAGTCCTTAGAAGGCGTGTTTAATATATATTGAGACTCGCCTTGCGGGGTTCCTGTATTGGTTTCGAATATCTTTAAGTTCTGTGGCTTTTTGATTAGCTGTTTATGTTCAAATGTACGAATAAACACGTTTGAGGAGTTTAAAATAGTAAATATTTTGTTGAGCATAAACTTATTAGTGTGTGGAAAAACTGCTACCTACTGGTGTGTTTGATATTACTATCCAATAGCTTCGGTGAGTTCTTCGGTCTATAGAAAATGCAGATTAATTTAAATATTTCTTGCAAAGGTATTGGAGATATGGTGTATTGTCAAGTGCAGTTCTATTAAATTGGTGCTCGCTGCAGTGTTTTCAATTCATGCCAATCGTTGTGCTGCATTCCTGTCCGGTCCCTGAGGTAATTTTGAAGGCCTTCTGATTCGAATGACGAATCAGCACCGCTGATACGTACCTATCAATAATAGCATGTAGCAATTTTATGGCCAAAAAAAGTTGTTCCTGAAGAGATTTTTGAAGTCTGCTAAAGTATAGACTATAAATGTTAGCTGTATATATTGGATAAATTAATATGCGCGGCGGGAACGGTTTGGTTTCTCAACTTGAGGTCGGGGTTTCAAATCCTCGCTGTGCATTACACTTTATCTGCATTGCTCCTCTCCACCCAAAAGTATAAATGGGTACCTGGTGGGGCTGCCTGCTCCTGTGCAGATTACTGTGCAGCAACACTTAGCATGTGGACCCAATGACCAGGGAAAAGAACTGCGCTTTATAACCTCAAGGAAGAGGCGCATTATAAATGCCCGTACACGTACCAATACCATACACCAGTCCACGTCATCATCATCAGTCCTATGCGAGGTAATTTTTAATTACTTTAGCAAATTTCCGTTGTGGAGTAAGAGGTTACGCTGATATAAGTATAAAAAAGATTACTAAAGTACTTAAATTTTGAAAATAAAAAAATAATCTGATCCACATGGTGGTACATTAATCTACATTAATGATAAATTTGCGTTCAATGAACAGTTAGATCTTAATTCGGAGGAACTAGAAGCGAGCTGGATTGATCTTAACCTACCAAGGATGAAGCCTATTGTTATTGGGTGTATGTATCGGCCCCCAAATCAGCGTGACTTCCTTGAGCACTTTGAGGCAGTTCTCAGTAAAGTTGACGTATCAAGTGAAGTTATTCTTCTGGGTGATATTAATATCAATTGGCTGGATAAGGGAAATTTACTATTAAAAAAATACTCCACTATTCTTGATCTGTATAGTATCAAACAGCTCATCGAGTTACACCAACTAGTTCCACGTTGATTGATCACATTCTTAGCAACACTCCTGAAAACATCACACACAGTGGAGTTCTCTTTGTAGGTAAAGCGGCCATTTCCTTACATTTTGCATTAGGAAAGAATCGAAGGAGAAATTCAAAGAGCATTTAAAAAAAAATTAACTTGTTTACACTTTGTTATTTGTGATTTGTTTGTTCTCTACCTGTTGTTTTGGCACTGCGTCTTGAGCACCAATTTTTGGTGGTGATGTTTGCGCTTTAAAAATCGTTATTATTATTATTATTAGCATAAATATGCTGAAATAAGATCATTAAGAAGGGCATTGTTGAATTATTCAACAATGCCCTTTCTGAGGTTGACTGGTCATCAGTTATAGAGTTGACTGATCTCAACATTGATTGGACCAGTTTTAAAAATAAGTTCATGGATGTCATTGAGAAACTAGCGCAACTTAAGAGAATTAGAATTAAACGCAACACAAAAGATTGCATGAACGGTGACACCTTAAGCATGATTCATGAACGCGATATTTTGCTAAGATTTTTACTAAGGACAAGAACAGAACAGACATATATGATAAATTTAGTGTACTGCGGAAAAAGTATTTAAAGCTATGAAAAAGGCAAAATCAGAATATTACTTAAACCTAATTGAAGAAAACAGAAACGATCCTAAGAAACTGTGGAAAACATTAGGCAAATTAGGACACAATAATATCAAAAGTGATAGCAACATTGTTTTGAAAAATGTTACCAATGATGCAATGCTCCATGATCCTACTGAAATTCCGTCCCGTTTCAACAACAAATTTTTCACATCGGTCGCGTCTCATATTTCCAAGAAATTACCTAATAAAACTAAGGAATTTACTCCCAGCTCGAAGTCCTTCGCTGACTTCTAAAAAAATAAAAACATCCCTAAATTTAATTTCTAGCCTGTAGATGAAGAAATTGTTGAAACGGAACTTTTCAATCTCAACGTCAGTAAAGGTACTGGAGCAGATAAAACCCCTGCTCGTTTTCTAATAGATGGGGCAAATTTTATTAGGTATCCTCTTACGCATATTATTAATTTATCTATTATTAAGGAAGTTGTACCCGAGGAGTTCAAACTGGCAAATGTTAGGCCTATTTTTAAAAAGGGGAATCGAACTGACCCGAATAATTACAAAGCAGTTAGCGTCCTAAGTTGCACCTCTAAAATTTTGGAGAAAGCAGTCTATTGGCAAGTTATTACTCATTTGAAAAACAACGATTTGATCCATGATTATCAGGTCGGGCTTTAGAGAGTCATACTCTACAGAAACCTGTCTAATCCATCTCATGGATTATATGAAAGACAGCATTATCTAGTAGTGTCTTTACAGGAATGGCATTGATCGACATTCGGAGAGCCTTCGATTCTGTTTATCACCAAATTTTATGTGATAAACTTTCGGCCCTTGGCTGTTCTTCAATTGGATTGTTTCATTCTTACTTAAATGACCGTAAACAGTCTGTTTAACTGAAAGGCGCTTTCTCTGATATCCTGCCTATCAAGTGTGGAGTGCCCCAAGGCAGTGTACTTGGGCCTCTTCTATTCCTGGTATACAATAACGACATTGCTGTATCTATTGACCCAATGCGGTTCTTTTATATGCGGACGACTGTGTGATTTTATTCTCTGATCCCAACCCTGCTTTAATCGAGAATGTTTTGAGTAAGAGCCTTGAATCTTGTTCAAAATGACTTGCGAATAACAAATTAACTATCCACAGTGAAAAAACTGAGTGTATCTTATTCGGTTCAAAGCGACGACTCAATAATCAGAACTTCGAACTTTAGTTTAATGGTTGCTCTGTGAAATCGTCTAATTCTGTTAAGTACTTGGGCGTTCAGATTCAAGTGACAGGCGAACTCATTGCCAAATCAGTTATTTCTAAAGTTAATTCTCGTCTCAAATTTCTTTATCGTCAGTCACAATATCTTGATTTTAATAGTCGCAAATTACTTAGTTTTGCTCTGGTTCAACCTATTTTTGATTATACTTCATCTTCATGGTTTTCTGGAATCTCTGAGAACCTTGCAAAAAACTCCAGATTTCTCAAAACAAAATGATTCGTTTTATTTTCAAATCAAATCCCTTGGCATATGTTGGCCAATCTGAATTAAGAGATATAGGCTAGGTTTTCGTAGCGGTTACTATAGAGCTAAATTTTAAAGATTATGTAATGTGTACACAATTTTTACTAAAACCGCACCTTGTTATTTAACTCATAAATTTAAACTCATAAACAATCTTCATTACCATTTCACACGTAGCAGTTCAGTAAACTTGAGGGTCCCTATTATAAAGGGGGGTCCTGACAAAACTTTTTATTTCACAGGAAATCAAGAATGGAACAGATTACCAACACAAATAAAGCTCTCCACTTCATTAAACTCATTTAAAAAGTCCCTCAAAGATCACCTCTGGAATGTATAATCCCTTTTCCATTTTTGCTTTGTGTTATCCCTTTCCTGTCCTTCCATTTGTCAATTGAATATTTCGGATCCCAATGAAAATACGTTTCTTTGAAACCTTTTTGGGCTATTTCTTGCTTTTAGAGTATTCAATTGTTTTGTTTAATCTTGTTTTGTCTTCAATTGTTTTTGGATTTTACTCTGATGGCTAAATCAATTTAAATCATATTCAAATCAAATTATGGAAAAGCATCAAACAAAAAGAAAAGTTTCGCATCAAAATATTATTAATAGTACTGCAACATGTTAGGAGTAACGCCCAAGGACATAAAAAAAAAAGACCCCTTAAACTTTGTCAGTAAAGTAAAATAAATGCTGGTACATGCAATTTTTGGACAGATGATGTGTAATGACTGAAATTGATATATAAAAGCATACCTTCCCATGAATCTCCATTGTCATCAGAATATGAGCATACTTTTGGTTGACTGGGAAAAAATGAAAATTATTTTTCATTATATCAACAGTTTATTGCAGAAATGAATTTAAATTAAAAATCTAATTCGACAGGAAAAAACAGGTAACAAAAGAAAGGGTACAATAGTTTTGCCAACTTAGCTGATGGTGCCACCAAACAGCGATCGCGTGTGTGTGTGATCGCGTGTGTGTGTGATCGCGTGTGTGGCTGTATAACACTAATTCAGCATAACCTTTCTTTTACTTACCGGTATTCTGTTAATATAGTCTCAAAATGATTGGACTGTGAATATCATATAATCATATTTAGCTAACTTAAAAAGTTAATCAACGCCTGTATCATTCTGAGAAGTTTGAAGTAGTTTATAAAAGTTACCTTTTTTTTTTTTCAGATTGCAATGTAAATTAATTAAACTACATTTTTTTTTCTTGTATATGGATAAGGGTGGATTGTGGACAGTATGCAATTGGAGACCACCCCCCCCCCCACCTAATAAATCGATTGTAGACCTGTCTTTGGCAGCGAAATTTAAATAGCGCCATCTATTGCCTTCCTTGTTCTCCAAGCGATGTTATGAATAATATTCTAGTGATGAACACATTTTCTCCGTGAATTTGGAGAAAATATACACAGGTATGTTTATTTGTTACCGCATGTTTGGGCTGATGTAAAAACTAAATTTCTAAACAGTATTTTTTAGGGAAATACTATGATTATGGTAAATTATTTTTGTATTTTTTACATTACCATTGTGTCAATGGACTGTACAATGGCTGATATGATGAGCTGACACGCGCGCTTGTAATGCGGCCAGCCTGTGTTTTGTAGTGGGTGTTTACAAATTGGTGATGTGGGTAGTTGTGGACCGGCTAGAGGGCGGTGTTGTTAATATGCAGCCTGTATATGACTATTTGTATTATTGTTTTTAATTTGTTCATTTTCACATCATAATAATTTTAGAGCCCCTCTCCCACCTATGTTTATTTCACCTAAGAGTCGCACGATTTCTACGAACTCGTGATCTTTGGAAAAGACCTATACGAGCTTATTATGTATTAGCTACGAGTGAGGTACGACTTTATGAGTTGGATACGAGTTATGTACGAATTATGCCGAGCAGAGGACCGAGTTAACTACGAGATTATTAAGAGCGTCTCAGGTTTGTACCGAATTAGATACGAGTTAGGTACGAGCCAACTCGGTGCGCTCGTACTTACTCGTACTCGTTTTGGGGTGCTCGCATCAAACTCGTAGATGACAAAACCGCCGACGAGTATCCAGAGTAGTGTACGAGCTAGGTAGGAGTACCCCAAGTACTCTACGAGCTACCTACGAGTTCTTCGAGTTTACTACGAGTTATCTACTCGTGGCGATAATTTTGAACATGTAAAAAATTAGCGCCACGAGTTCAGATTTGCTACGAGTAGGTAAGAGTTCTCTCCGAACTTTCCGAATCGTCCTACGAGTTTTTGCCGAGTTAGCAACTCGGCAAACTCTTGTAACTCGAATGCTGAAAAAAAAACCCCTACTGGGAGATGGCTTTAAGTAAGTTAATACTATTAGACCTACATGCCTAGATAATTGCAGAAATGTTAATTAGCAATAGTTTAAGTGCACATTAATAGTACAGTATAAATTAATAAGGTCATGTGTGGTCATCATTAACTAAAATAAATTGTGTTGACACTAAATAAGGCAGTGCGATCAAATTTCCTTCAGTATTACCGTACTCGCGCAAATAGGCGCCCAGGCGCTTAAAATATGTTTTTTGCACTTTTTGAGGGCCGCTTATTCGAACGGGGCGCTTATGAAAACAGAGTGGAAATTGAGGGGGCGCTTATGGAAATAGATGAAAATCGAGGGGTTCTTATGAGAACTTATTAAATTCAAAAAGCACATTTTGAATGAAAAACGATTGTATTGCATAACAGCAGAATAGCAGATGAAATTAGTGGTGGTGGTTAGCTTGTTGGCCATCGGCCGATTGAGATTAGCAGGACGGCATGATCATTGCAGGTTTTCTTGAAAACTCAGATGGGAATGTGTTAAAGGTGCAAATGGTCGGAAAAGGAGTAGGACTAGGCTATAGACAAATGTAAGAAGATGAAAGTTGGAAATACACTGTCTGTCCAGGGAGCTCTCATCTGTCCAAGATAAATATCCTTATTTTGAATGTGATTCCTCTCCAAACCTCAAATCATGCCAACATCCACAGTCCCAGGATTAATTGGATTATTGAGGGGTAGTAGGGGGCACTTATTCAAACGGGACGCTTAATCGCGCGAATACGGTAGGCCTATTACAAAAACAACTAGAATGTTAGGCTAGTTATTGTATTAATATATGTTATTATATTACTATTAAAATAAATATTATATTTATAGGCCCTATCTTTTTTTTATTTGTACAGATTCCGCAGAACTACAGTATGCGAATGACGGATTGAACCTTGTGGGCCAGTAAAACCATACAAAGGGCCATCGATGCTTGTAGAAGGGGGAAGATTAGCCTAACTAAATAGTATAGTTTCACTACTAAAAAAAACTATCTGAAGATGTATGTATAAAGATAGCAGGATCAAGATATCAGTTTCATTTTGTTATAGTTTAATAAATTTGTGTTCCGCAAGTCAACTTTTAATGATTGTATACCGTTTTTTTTATTGGTTTTTACATATATATATATATATACTGTCTCTATATATATAGACATTGATACAATCAAATGACACGGTTGACGTTTTGGAGAAACATAAGTATTTTATTGCACACGAATATTTCGTCCTGCCATCAGAACTTTCTCAACGTGAATGAACAAAAACATTACAAAGTAGGTAAACCATCAGCTATGAAGTAACAGTAAATAACAATGAAATAACAATAAGACAATGCTGGGCGTAATTAGTTATTCGTGAAAGTATAGCCACTAGCAATGCCTAGATCTCTGTTAAGCCTTTAGTATGTGATCTAATACGAAGTATCCATAGTAACTCCGCGCAACGTCTATCGTTAGTAGATTTGTAGTCAATGCCTGATGAAACGAAAATTAGAAATTGAACGCCTGGATGCATTGGAATGGTCACTCACAGGAAATCCTTTACTTTTATCTTTAACTGATTTTTTATGTAATTGTTATTGTCGTGATGGAATTATAGACAATAACTGGATTTGCGTCAGGAGAAACATGTATAGGTGTAATTTTTGCTCTACCTGACGTGGAAATGTACCGAATACTCAGTACATTTTTTTTTTCACGCAGTTGTTTTCAAATGTACTGAGTATTCGGTACATTTCCACGTCAGGTAGGGCAAAAATTACACTTATATATGATTTTTTTTATGATTATTGAGTCTGTAGCTTAGTTCAGTGCCAGTCTCTTCAATATAATTACCATGTAACATTTATTGCAATAAATCATATAAACCACATTAGAGTGATCATAATCTAATCTGGGGGTGCGTATAGTGCAATCTGTCCCAGGTACATGGAATAAACTGTCTGTTGTGATGACAGTGCAAAGTTGGCACCTAGGTTTTAAACATGGTGTGTTTCCATACTCTTGGGTGGTTAAAGGTAATTTGTATGAAGTCAAAATCGATTTTAAATTGGGTTTCTGTCGTCTAGCAGTGATGGGTGGATTGCGAAAAGGAGGTTCAATGCTGGAACCCTGTTTCAGAGCATTATAATTATTCGTGAGTGTATGAGCTAGAGATTGAATTTTAGGGCCGTAATCTAAAACAAACGGTATCCTATCATTACTAGTCTTAGGTATATAACATGGCAAATCATTGCGTGATCTTAATGATGCCTTGAATACTGTAAATTTGATTAAAGATATGTGATAATTGCAATTTCAAAAAATGAGATGTCATGTGAGACACTTGCTTATCAAAATCAGAATGGTTAGAACAAATACGTTTAATGCGGAGGCATTGGCTAAATACTACAGTATAGAGCGCTTGAGGCTGATGGGATGAAAACTATGGAAATCCAAGTAATGGTAATTGTCGGCTTGCAGTATAATGAAGTAGTGATGATCCCATTATGAAGACCAACAGATACATCTATAAATGGTATATAATCATATGAGTGTTCCAAAGTGAACTTAATGTTCGGATGGAAATCATTAGCATATATAATAAAATCATTAAGTGATTCAATCCCATGTTCCCATATGAAAAAAATGTCATCGATATATCTATAGTAATGGGAGGGTTTTAGATGGTAATAAGATATAAGTCCGCTTTTGAGATGAGGCATGAACATATTTTCATAGCTTGTTGCCATCTTCGTTCCCATCGCCGTTCCTTTGGTTTGCAAGTAGTGTTTCCCATTAAAAACAAAGTTATTATGTGTAAATATAAATCTGATTAATTTTATCAATATCCCGGCTGGGTGTGTCTGGGTCGTATTCAGCTATGAGTTTTTCACAAGCAGCAATTCCTTCCTCGTGTGGAATGTTCGTGTAAAGTGAAGACACATCTATGGTGACAAGTATCATTATGGAGAAGTTACAGGATTTCATTAAGTGTCTGAAGGAAATGGGTAGTGTCCCATGTGTAGCGTGGTATTTTAGTGAGTAATGGGTTCAATATTAAGTCCAAAAAATCGTGATATTCGCTCAGTGAAGCTTCCTATCCCTGACACAATTGGTCTGCCCGGTGGCGAAATATTCAAAAATTTGGCAAGGTCATAGATAACAGTAGGCTCTGAGAGGAAATCTGCGTTCGTAGGCATAATATGAGATGATGTTACTAGTGCGTCCGATACAAGCTTGGACAGTTTGTGCAAATTGGGAAGACATTAAATCACACTGGCTTTCGGGATATCGGGGATCAGTGGTTTGACGGTAGATTTGATATTTGTGCTCAATCTAGATGTTGTATCTAGAACTTCCTATGCTGTCCGCAGTTCTTGCTGCTTCTTGCGCGTTCCATAGTTTACTATTTTGTTGTTTACGCGCTCCTCACGCACTAATCAGAGGGACACATACTATCCTTGGCAGTCAATG